CCACAACAAACCTACCACAACCCACACATTACCACAACAAGCCTACCACAACCCACACATTACCACAACAAGCCTACCACAAGCCACGCATTACCACAACAAACCTACCACAAACCACACATTACCACAACAAACCTACCGTACATTACCACAACAAACCTACCACAAGCCACACATTACCACAACAAACCTACCACAAGCCACACATTACCACAACAAACCTACCACAACCCACACGTTACCACAACAAACCTACCAGCAGCCATAGCTGCTCGATCTACCTACCACACCGCTTGTCCTCCCTCTGCAAACTGTACGGCAGAAAATGGTGTGACCTGGAGATATGAAGGAACTTGTTGATTTCCTCCAATTCTTGCTGACTGTGCACCTTTTTCTCCCAGCGGCCATCCAGCATGTCTTTCAACACGTTTTCGCACAGGGGGCGCTCACAACAGCTTTGCGGGGATCGAAGCACAGTGTAAGCACAATACAAAATAATGAACGCCAAGAACAGTATACCTACGCATGCTTTGTTGATCGGGCGGGCACTATATATGATTGACATAATGCAAGCAGTGAAGATGCAATATCGTAACTATGATTGTTATGAGTCCAGTCCCCTAAGACAGGTTAGACGAAAGTTCCAGATGACGTAGCAATACGATAGACTAGTGGCAAGAAGCTGATGACGTAGCCATACGATAGACTAGAGACAAGATCCTGATGACGAGTCTTGGTATGACCGACTATACCTGAGATCCCAGAATGTAAAAGTTCAAATACCACTCACGCCACAAGAGAAATATAAAGATAAACATCGCCACAACTTTAGTCAGCTCCAGCCAAAGAATCAGATCGGAGAGGGCAGCATGGCAGTAGTTTTCCCCCATTCATACCCACAATCGTATGCTAACTATGCGAGTAGATGGGAAATATAAGAAACAAACGCTGTAGTGTTAGGAACACTGAAACGTCTTAATCTTAATTGATGTTCCATGATTAAATCATATCTTTGTGAAATATATGACACATGCGTTGAAGTCTTAAGCACACTGAAAGGACTATATCTTCATTGACGGTCCTTGATCAAGTATATCTTTGTGAAATATAAGTCACAGGCGCTCAAGAACACTTCCATGCCTAAATCTTCATTGATAGTCCTTGATCCAGTCATAATTTGATGCTAAACCAGTGACTAGATGCGGAAAGTTAGGTAGATAAATGGTCATTATGGTCATGTTCCCGTCTCTTTAAATAACTGATCTAAGTGAAGGTAAAAATGTTGAAATGTGACTAGGCTATAGCACATGAGTTAGTCGCCGACTCAGTGACATACACAAATCTGACAGCTTATAGTAACTATGATTCCACTGATGGCTACATCATTGAGACTGTCACCCTCCTCACCTCATCGTGATGAAGCTGTACCTGTAAGAATCTCGTCGGCCCATTCGTCACTGCCCAGTCCACGTTTGAAAATGTCGGGCCGATAGACTGTGGTCCAATAGAGATCAATCTCGTACGTTTTTCGGTCAGAGATTGGATGACTAAGAGATTCCCACAACGAACAGCTTTATTAAAAATCATGTTCTTAAAAGACTATCAATATGTATAGTGCCGGCATTAAAAAAAAAGCAATGCAATTTATTTCTCTGCTGCTATCTCTAAATAGTTAATATAACCTTTCTGCCAATCCAAATCCTGGCCCTGAATCTAAATAGATCTAGCATAACAGCAATTTCTTTCAGGCACCTTTTCTGGGGGCACCCCCCCCCCCTTCCCCGATCGAAGTTGAATGTATATACAAAATAAATACTTTAACCGCTCCCTAGAAATGTGAGCACCCCCTCCCCAAAGTTTTAAGTACCCCCACCCCCCACGGAGAAAAAAATGTTTTAAGAAACACTGCATGACTAACAGTACCATCGATGCCAAACAACCTTGACATGAACCAGAAATACAGCGCCTTTATTAGTTTAAATAGTGAGGGTAACAAAAATAACTCACATCGTGTTAATCAGGGTTTCTTTCAGACATCTTTTTAAGGGGGGGGCACTTCCGGTGAAGGGGGGGGTACAGACCATTTTTAAAGTATAGGCTGGAAAACTTCCTAAAATTAACACTGGTATATAGTTTTGATATACGTTTTTATATGTTACTATAATATATACAAATATTCACAGCACGCACAATCCATTGAAATCTCGACGGTCGTCGAAATATGCTAATTTAAAAAAAGCCTAGTCCCCAAGAAAACATACCGGCGTGGTCGTGACATACAAAACGGACGAAAAGACCAGTGATTTTTTTAAAAATAAAGTAAATTTAGGCCATATCCAATTTGTTACTTTGCATTATCCAAAAAATTAAGATTTAAAAAAAAAAATGAGTCATCTCTGGGCTAATAATAAAATAAATGACTATGACGAGGACTTTCGACTATGAACTGGCCAGTTTTAACAGGTCAAAATATGTAACGGAGAGTTTCGGTCAGGCAGGTGAAAGCTATCATTGAAGAGATTTTTCTTCCACTGTGTGATCAATCACACGGCCATCTACAGGTGTGTTGATCACCTATGGGGGGGGGGTATGCACGTTTCCTGGTGGTGGGGGCGGCGAGTGCACAAAAAGGAGCCAGTTTTGTATGTATGTGTACGTGCATGTGCGTTTAATAAAAAAAATATATCACAATCCATAAACTGTTTTAATAAAACAAATTGCAATTTCGGTATCGATATGTCTGTTTACCCTTTTGAGTCACATATTGTTAAAATGATTTTAAAAATTAATGGCGTAAAATAAGCTACACATTCTGAAAACTTTTAAATAATATATGGGTAAACGAAAAAGGCAGGCAGTAGAAAAGATGGGAAGACAACATCCGACGTGTTTAAGTTTAACACTTGGAAAGAAATGGAGGAAGGTGATTAAAAGACAATCGAGGAATATAGAAACGGTCCAAGACAACGAGGGAGATGGGTAAAAAGATGAGAACATCCAGTGGCGTAGGCAGGGGGGGTTAGGGGGGTCATACCCCCCTAGACCCCTCGGTATATATATAAAGTATGAGGGGGGGGGGGCAAATCGAAAGTTTGAGGGGGGGGGGGGTGCAAATCAATCGAAAGTTTGAGGGGGGGGGGCAAATCAAAAGTCTGAAGGGGGTGCAAATCGAAAGTTTGTCCCCGGGTAAAAATTGGAACCCCCCCCCCCCCCCCTTGAGACGATCCTGGCTACGCCACTGAGAACATCAAACTGGTAAAGTTTTGAAAACCGTTTACCAACGGCTCAGTAAGTTCAAGGGGGGGGGGAGAGAAAAAAAACGTTTCTATCTCTTTTCCTTTTCTTTCTCGCATTTATCTGGATAATAAAAACGCTCAGCTGAGCAAAATGGTTTTACACTTCCATATCGACGACTTTGACTGTGCTGGTTACAGAGGCGTAGCGAGGGGGGACATATGTCCCCGGGCGCCGACCTTAGGGGGGGCGCCAAATTGAAAGTTTGAGGGGGGGGGTGCAAATGAAAAGTTCGAGGGGAGGGGGGTGCAAATCGAAAGTTTGTTTGTCCCCGGGCGCCGGGAAACAGTTTTTAAAATAATTGTAAGTCATGCATAAGTCATGTCGTAAATAGGCGCCTTCATTGATCAACTGTTTGATAAACACGCCGATCCCAAGAATGGCGCGTTCATTAGCCAACAGTGAACTACAAGCGCCGACAAGATAGACTCGTCCATAATTGACGTCCCACTCGTAGGGGGGAGGGAGGGGGCGGTAATTTTGTGACGGTGTGTGATGAGGGGAATGGGAGGGGGGTTCAAATGATGCGACGTCACACTTTTGCATTATAAAAAAGCAATGTTAGAAAAGGAGTTTTAGCCGTTATTTCGCGTTTTATAAAACGGTTTTAATAAATTGTAATAGGAATTGATCAAAATACTTTATGTTGACAGAGTTCTGACAAGATTTTGGAAAAAATATTGATGTTTTAGGCTGAGGTGTGACGTCATTTTAGTGGGGGGGGGGGTTGTCTGGCTTTTTGTGACGACGAGTGACGGAGGGGAGGGGGAGGTAAAAAGCGTGACGTCATTTATGGATGACCCCTAGGCAGCTACTCCAGTTATAAACACACTGCTGACCATACTATCCTTTAATATGCATAAGTTAACTTGTCATAATAATGTCGGATTAATGTGTGTGCCATGTGTGTGTTTGGGGGGTGGGGGCGGGGGTGCTGACATTACAGAGCCCTCCACATTTTCTTTTTCCTAAAGATAGTAAATTTCACTTTCCTCGCAACTTCCCGTTAATTAATTTACCTTGTGGCAAATTGAATGTTTCAATCTCTTCTTTTAATTTGTTTATTTATAAAACACAATTTTTTTTCATACAAATTGTATCCCACGAAAGGGGACCAAAACGCCTCAATCGTTAACAGATCTGTCATCGCCCCCTGTTTGGAAAATGTTTACACATAAGAATGTGAGCTTGCCTTATAGTAATAAATTATTAACAAGTAATTTTTTTTTATTCATAAAGAAAAATACAACCCATTCCTGACTATCATTCGCCGAACTTGTGTGTTGATTTGTGTGTGATGATTGGGCAGAAGGGAGGGAGATAATAAAAATCGAATTTGTGAACAAGAATGATTAGCCATGGTTGTTTTATTTCCACCACCCCATCCTTTGACCCAAAATGTACGCGCATACTAACTAGAGTCTAGATCTAGATTTCTAGATCACTATTCTAATAAACCGAAAGCTAAACATGGCCTATTCAGTATTCATATCTTGTAATAACAAAACAATGGGACTATTAAATAAACTAAAAAGTAGGCTACCTAAATATATTTCTAAGAAGTTCGACTACGCAATACATTTTTAAATCACTTAAGCTGTTGGTTAAAAATAAAAATCGCTTTTCGTGTATTGATCTAAATATAGTTTAGATTTAGACTTTAGATCCACGTTTGAAATCACTAAGTGTACAAAATTTAAAAAAAAATAAAAACATCGGGGCCTAAGCCTAGAGTTTAGAAACCTAAAAATAAAATTGCTAAAAAAGATTTACTTCTGCGCCATCTATATCACGTGATATTTAAAGAATTAAACAACAAGAAAGATGGCGGACAATGCTGCAGGTGAATATAAAAAAATATACATTGCATTTTAATTTATTTAAAGTTTGCATAGTGAGGGTGTTTAAAAACGAATAGTTTCATACGTTTGTTTACATATCTGAAATTAACCTGCTTCTTGTTATATTAAATCGGTTATGGACAGGTAAACAAACCTCTTACCGGGCAGTATTCATCAGCAGTGCCGGAGCTAGATTTAGCCTTGAAAAGATTAACTCCCCTTGCATTCATCACATTGCATCTTTTTCTAGAACTAGAATCTAACCGTTATTCTAGATCTTATAATTTGTATTAAAAATAATAACAAAGCATGCAGTTTGCACTCATAGTATTCACTTGTTTGATTTTATTCTGAACAAAGCCAACTCAACTCTGGGATCTAATTCTATTCTATTTCTAAACAAATCCTACCCCCCCCCCCCCTCAAAAACACACTCTGAACCCCTGCATACTAATGCTAGTGCATGATACTGCTACTGTATGCATTAGTTGTTGATCCTAACTCAGTTTCAAACTAGAATCTAGACAGATTACCTTTTTGATTAATATCAGGTGATGTTACTTGAGATAATTTTAATTTAAAGTGAAATAATCTGCTGTTATCCACAACACAATTCACAATGAAACTAGTTAGTTAGGCCTAAACTAATAATAGTCTAATACTCAAAGGCTAGGTCCTAGATCTAGAATCTAGTTATTAATAAAGTAGGCGTAGGTCAAATAAAATATAAAATATAGATTAGGCATTCTAATAATTATCTAGATCTACTAATGCTAATAAATAGTAGGGCCTATAGAAAAATAAATTGCGCAGCATTAAGTTGACACGCTGTATTTTGTAGAAATAAGAATGATCTAAGATTATTAAACTCTAGTCTCGTAATGGAAAGACAGCAGGATTTAATAAAACTGCAGCATTGATTATTATAAACTTAAAATACTTCTTAGGCCTAACTAACTTAATCTTTATTTAACCCTATATAATTATTGTATAAACTCACTACCTAATTTGGTCCATAGTTAATATTTCTTATTCATGGAGTTTAGTAAAAAAAATGAACATCCTCAATGTGTATTATCAGTATAATCGGTAATCATAGATTTAGTTTTTTAACAGAATATAGGCCTTCACTTTGTTTTGCATTTCTTTTGACCTTAGCTTACATACTTATCATTTAGCATTGGGCTTATAACTATACATCTAATCTAAAACTAATCCTAATACAAACTTACAACTCTTTTATTCTTTATTATGAATATGAATAATGTTATTTAGCTAAAGGAAAGTAATCTTTAAAACTCAGTTGAAACAGTACTTTGAGTAGACTAGTTATTTTTCCTTTGCCAGCTAATTAGACCAAGTGATTCAACACTGATAACTTGAAAGTTGATTGAATCTGTATCAATAATAAAAATGGGATTTATGATTCTTTAATATATAATATAAACTAAAACACTCTTATTATTACTCTTGAAATACAATTTCAGAAATGGGTTTTAAGATTTAGCTAAGAGGGTTATCTAGCTTAAGTTGTATGAAAAAATAATATTTAAAACCTACATTGTATTTGCAGATTCCACTAAAAGTGAAGATGAAAATGTGGAAGATTATAAAGTAAGTTAAAGCTTAATAGTAATATATATTCACACTTTTTTTTTTTCTAATTTTTTTCCTTGATCAGCTTGCATCACCAGTCAGACTATTTACTGAGGCTGTTCTCATTGTCAATCAAATTTTATAGGAATGTTTTATTGTTGCATTGTTCAACTTAGAAATTATAATACAAATGTCTTTATAGCCATTAACTTACTTCTTGTAAGACACTAAAATCACTGGTAGTTGTTTTCTTGTGTGATGTAGATTTTTAAAATTATCTGTGTTAGGTAGGACTTCCACAAATATTTGGAGTTTGAAAAACACATTCTTTAAAAAGAATTTTGTTACTTTTTTCAGGTCTCCTCTACCTTTAACAATCCTCAATCAGCTACCAATTCAGGTAATTTAGTTATCATTTTAATTATTAAAAAAATACTTTACATGCTCAGTATTAACAGTTGAAATGAACCAAGTATGTTAAATTAATAAATTTAACACATATGTGTCAATAACTAAATGGGATTATGATTCTATTTTACTTCTTCCTCAAACAATTGACTTCTTCTGTCTTTTCAACCATATGATACATTTTATTTTCACTGTAAACAAACTGATAAAGTGTTATCCTAATGCATAAAATAAACTTTTGAATAAGTTTATTTTCTTTCTACATTCAAACTTTTGAGCAATGAAAAGTTTAAAAACAACTTTTGTCTAATTTATTTTTATGTACAATTATAATGTTTTTTTTTTTGTTTTATCAAGATTCAAGCTCAACGTCCAGTCATGACAATGTTCAATCAGTCAGTAGTACAGATGTCAGAGAACATCCTATTATACAGCCATCCAAGCTTGCTGCACCACAACCTGGATTTTGGGGTTTGTTTTTTTTAATTTGCATTTAAATGAGATTTGCACAGCTTAAGAATAGCTAATCTTTCTATTTGATAAACAGATATTTCTGATGTGTTGAAAAACAAAGTAAATATATTTCTTTTGCCACTTAACTTACAACTATTTTTTATTTGACAGCATTTGGTTCAGCTCATAATGCAGGTAAGAAAATCTGTCATAGCATTGTGTTCCTTATTTTGCTTTATGCTTACTGTGATTAAATTAAAGGTATTTGTTGGGTAGTCAAAAGAATTAAGTTGATTACTCAAATGTAAATGATAGTTATCCATTGTTTTTCAATATAAACGGTTTATTAGTTGAATGTTCAACATTTTAATATATTTTACTTTTATTCAGGAATGTATTCAAATCCCTTTGTACCAAAGGCACCACTAAAAACAGATGTGGTTTCTACAGCTTCAGCATCAGGGGAGGATAGAGAAAGTAAGTGAAGACTGTTTAAATGCAATTCTATAAATAAAAAAAAACATTGGAATAGATTTAAAAAAATATTTACCAGTCTTTTTAAAATGAAGGCCTCCTACCTAAATGTCTACTGTCATTTGAAAATTTAGCACAAATCCTAACATTTTCTAGACTGGCTGGTGACTTTTTTTTTTCAAAAAGAAAATCTTTTCTTAATTCTATTCATTTATTAACAGGTATTATTGCCCCTGGTAAACTTGGTGCAGCTGTTGGCAGAGATTTTGGTAATGAAATTTTTATTGCTTACAAACTTACTCTGGTTATATCACTTATTAATCTTAAATTTAAAGATATAGCAACATTTCTGAATAGAACGATTACTTTATTAATTCACATTTATATTGATTCAGATTAAATCTTCTGCTAAATCTATTCTGTACTTTTAAAAAATGTGTTATTCAGTTGTCAATTAGTCAACATAGTTTTGAATGTTATTATTTCTACAGGTTCTGGCTTTACTTGTAATGCTAGTAAATCTTTTCATATTCGACCATCAGTATTCTCAGGATCTTCTCCTTCAAATCATGTTAAAGGTGGGAATATTGCTGTGTTGAAATACCAAGGTTTAGAGTTATTATTAGTTTATACTTTTTAAAATTATATTGACCTTCTCAGGATTGACGTTAAATATGTGTGTAAATCTTTTTGTTAACATAAGAAAATTTAAATCTAGACATGACTTTCTTAATAAAAATCCCTAAAAAGAACTTTTGTAATTATTTAAACAAGTGATTGAAAAATATAATCAGTATTGAAAATATTCATTTACAGCTCCTCTTTTGAAACCAGCCAAATTGCCTGATCCTACAAAAACAACAGAAAACAAAGGTAAATTTAGATTATAATATTAGATGTTTATAAAGATTTTACTGGTACGAGTTATAAGCTGCCACTGATTGTAGAATTGTCTAGCCAAATGTGCATTATCTTCTATAGAGACAGAGGGCAATATAGCCGAGAGAAGATAAGAAATGTCCCATTTAAAATAATTTAATGTGTTAGAGTTGAATGCAAATTTTTTTGTTTATAGTTGATACTGAGACAGATAGTTCAGCTGCTGTCAGGGAAAGATTGTCCGGTGCTGACAGTGAAGTCTCTTCTTCTTCCTCATCCTCCTCATCACCACTTATAGCACAGCAAGATTTAGAAGCTGCTCCACCTAAGGAGCCAGCTTACAAACAGGAGATTGTAGCAGATATTAGTAAAAATAATAAGTAAGATTTTGCTTTTGTTCAAAACAAACAATATTCAGCTCAACTTGTTATCATATTTCGTATAACCTTTATTACAATATAATTTGTATGGTCTAACGTCTTTTATTTTAAATTTTCAGGTTAAAAGATACATCTGGTGTTTCAACTAGTTCAAATTCTGATTTTGTCTTTGGTAAAAATCTTTCACAGCGAGCCACAGTAAGTATTAGTTGGGGGTCCTATGTTATGTGAATACCAATCAACTCAAATATTAATCCATTAAGGTACCAATGAACAGTTTGAGCTTGAAGTTTACTTATGCTATTTTTTATTTATTTGTTGCTAGGGCATCACATCTGGTGAACCTACTGCAATATTTGGAGAAAATTTAACATCCAAAACTGTTACAGAAACAAATGGATCTAAAGAATTATCAAACAAAGATGACAGTGATTCTGACTCAGGTAATGTGTCGAAATTGTTAAAATAAATTGTTGTATTTGTGCTTTTTGTGAAGCTAACTAGCCAAATTTTCTTGACATTGTATAGTAGCTAAGGTTTGTCTTTATGATTAGACTTTGGCATTTAGCTATTATACATTTAAGAGCAGGTCATTATAAAGAAAACAACTGTTCCAAAAAATTAATAAATATCTTTTATTCCAAATTGCATGACACCAAAATAAATTACTAATGACAAAGATAATCAGGAATCACTTTAAAGCCACCAACCTAAAGCAAAAATAAAAATCCAATAACCATTTGTCACCTTCAGAAAATCGAAAGTCATTAGAATGGATGAAAATAGTAATTATTATACATCTTAAGAAATTATTCTAATTATTCTATATGCTAATATTTTTATTCAGATAATTATCAATTAAATATACAATCAATTAAAAATTTTGGTGTTCATTTAAAATAGCTGACAAAATAACTACATCTTTTTTTGAATCGAAAGATTTTTTTCTTTTTTAAAGATCTGTTAGCTAGCAGTAGTAGCAGGGTACACATACAACCCAGATAATAATTTGAACCTTAATTACAGGTAGACTAAATAGAACTCTTGAAGAATCTGCTCGAGAGTATCAAGCCAAACATGAAAACAAAACTGAATTGAAAGAAGTAGAGAGAATCACAGGTGAAGAAGATGAGTCCAATGTTTTACAGGTAATAACTGGCAACTTATCATTATTAAAGTTTATCAGCAAGAATTTCTATACATTTTTAACTCTATAAAAAATACTTAATAATTATTTCAGGCTAATGCCAAGCTGTTCTTGTTTGATGCTACAACACAGTCATGGGTAGAAAGAGGTCGTGGCATTATTAGGCTAAATGACCGTTCTTCTGATGATACTAAAGCCTTCCAGTCTCGGTTAGGTAAATGGGAGATTAAAAATATTTATATTTTGTTTTGAACATACATTACTAAATCACACTCAAATTTGAATCTAAATTGATTAACTAATTTTCTTTTTTCCCTTGAAATAGTAATGCGTACTCAGGGCAGTTTGCGTGTAGTTTTAAACACAAAAATTTGGCCTGGAATGACAATTGAGAGAGCATCAGCGAAGTCTGTGAGGATCACAGCAATGGACACTGATGAGAATGTCAAAGTTTTCCTTATTATGGTCAGTTTACCCTTAGATGATGCCAAAATTTTATTTAGACACTAAATTTTGTGTGATGTTTGTAAGGATTTTTTAAAAAATGATAAAATTTGAATCTCTCTAGACCAATACCAAAGACTCTGAGAATCTATTAAGAGCGATTGATTGGAGGATTCAGCGGCTGAAAATCCAGGAAGAACCACACAGCGAGACACGGCCAGGAGAAAAGAGGAAGGCGGATTCTGACTTTGAATATCCACATAAAAAGTGAGTTCTGTGCTCTTAAAATATTTAATCTTCTTTAATACTTTAAAGGACCTTACTTTAGGAATATTTGAAATGATTTGACAAATATTTCTTCAGGAAAATAAACAGTCCATCTGAGTGTGTAAAGAAAGATGAATCAGACAGTAGTGTTCAGGATCCAGAGACTGAAGGTACTTAACTGGACTAAGAACTTGAAACATAATTTTGAAATATATTATTGACATTTTGTTTGTTTGTTATTTCTTGATTTTATCTGTATATTGATAATTATACTCAATGCCATTTTGGGATTTTGTTAACTTCAAATGTTCTGATTCTACTAAAATATTTGAAGTTCATTTTACAGTTTTAAATGATGAAAGAAATTAAAATTATCTCTTATGTCTTTTTGTGTTGTTTCTATATGTTTGTACTGTGTGTACAAGCTGGCTGTTACTGTATACTGTGCTGTTACTATTTGTATATTAATAAATAGATATGTTATCTGTTTTATAGTGACATAAAAACCAACCTAAAAAAAATACATGGACTAGGGTGAATTTCAAAAGGTTAACTGCTAAAAAATTCTTATGAGTTTTAAAATGTAGATAGTTGAATGTTAAAGAAATAATACTGAGAAATGTGTAAAAACACCAATTTGCTAAACATATGATTTCAACATGTCAGATTGACATTTTAATATTTTATTTAACTGGAAGCTTGCCATGAGACACTGCACCACAAACTATACTATTATTATACTTGAGCCAACACATGGGTAGCAACCAGAATGTACTAAAAGTAATACATGTTGAGCCAGCGCCATTACAGTAGTTCAATCTTGCTTCAAGTATTTTGTGTGAGTGATGTTAGGACATTTGTAACAAAGTCTGGCATAACTTTAATATACCTGGGTGTTCTGTTTTAAAAGACACAATAATTATAGAATAAATGACAAACTCCATTGATAAATGATTCTGTTTTTCCACAGCTTCTTGCGAAAGCCACTCTTCGTCTTTAACAATCAAGTCAGAGTCAGATGAAATCTGACCTTAAGTATGCATTGACTCAGTCCCAATTTGAAACAGGACCACACATTTCTTGTTTTGAAGAATGTAAATATGTGAGACCCAGTTTGATACTGTAACCCTTCCTATTTTATTGTACCGGGTAGACGATATTATACCTCTCATGGAATTTTCATCAGTCAAGGATGGTGTAATAAAAATTAATGGCTCATCTTCTTTGTTATTCTTTCATCAAGCTTTGGTATTTTCTCTGGTCTTTTAACATCTCAAGGAACACATGGTACTTTTTCTCGTGAAACCTGGTCAAAGATGGGAAAAGTTATTATAAAAGAAGTGTTCCCTGCCCATCTATTCATATACATGATAAAATAAACATCTGTTTTATACACTACAATCAGTTTTCTTTATTCAAACGTTTCAAAAAAAAAATGTAATATTATGTCAACTAATAATTTTATACATTTAAATTTAGCTTAAGCCTAAAACTAAATGTATGCAATATTTTTAAAAACAAAAATGAATAATTCAAGTAATATATATTTTTAGCACTAAATCATGTCTTTATTTTCAACAAATCCACTCATTATTTAAAGGTTTGTCTGTGTGAGCTAAAAGGACCTGATAAATTTATTTTTTTTGCTGGGAAAAACCTTTCGTCTAGAATTAATAGTAAAGTATTCAACTTAAGTAATTTTTGCCCAAAAATAATATAAACATTCCTACCATTCAGGTCACAACTCTTGATAAACAATAAGTTATTTATGCAGGATGCCACATTTAACAGTGGACTTGACAACAAACTACATAATTGTCTATTCCATTATTAATAATACAGTTCTATTCATTTGGTTTTAATCACCTTTTATCACTGTTGTCTGGAAAAATAATTTGTCCTTGACCACCCATTGAAAACATGGCTTCCTAAAAAAGTTATTGATTTAGGATTATATACCTTGTAAACATGGTGAAAAAAGAATAAAAATAAAAGAAATAATCATCAAAATAAGTTACATAGCACACAAGTTCTGTACAACTACAGATAATTTGATTTATCAATTCTTAATTTATAGAATAAAGTTAATGTTACTTCAAAGCCTCTTAAAAGATGTGGTTTCTATATTTAAAAAAAAATTGCATAAAACAGTAAAGTGGGACAACTTAAATTGCAGAAATTACCCTCTTGGTATGTGACAAAAACAAAACAGTCAGTTTTGGAATATTGAGATACAACTTGAGACAATGAGATGAAATAACCAAGCAATAAAGTTGCTACAAACAAAACTGAAAAAATTTAGTTCACATAATTTTAGTGGTCAGATATATTTGTTTTTAATGTCAGTTGTATTTGGAAAAACTTTAATGCTTACAAAATAACACTGTATTTTAATGGTTGCCATTAAATGAATGAGTAGTTTACAAGTAAACTTGCATCCCGTACTGAGTGCCCTAATATAGCCTTGATGTAAAGGTGCATACCTCTAAACTTTCAAACTGTCCAGAGGCGGCTGCACCTAATATTGCAGCACCCAGTAGGACAGACTGTTCCGTATCAGGAAGTATCAATGGTAAACCTAATGACGAAAAGTAAGATTTCATGTATCAGGAGGTATCAGTGGTAAACCTAATGAGAAAAGTAAGATTTCATGTATCAGGAAGTATCAATGGTAAACCTAAAGAGAAAAGTAAGATTTCATGTATCAGGAGGTATCAGTAGTAAACCTAATGACGAAAAGTAAGATTTCATGTATCAGGAGGTATCAGTGGTAAACCTAAAGAGAAAAGTAAGATTTCATGTATCAGGAGGTATCAGTGGTAAACCTAATGAGAAAAGTAAGATTTCATGTATCAGGAAGTATCAATGGTAAACCTAAAGAGAAAAGTAAGATTTCATGTATCAGGAGGTATCAGTAGTAAACCTAATGACGAAAAGTAAGATTTCATGTATCAGAAAGTATCAATGGTAAACCTAATGAGAAAAGTAAGATTTCATGTATCAGGAAGTATCAATGGTAAACCTAATGAGAAAAGTCAGATTTCAAACTGTTGAAAAAAATGTTTCAATTAATTAAGAAAATTAAAAGTATAACTTTTAGGGGTTTAAATTTACCTAAAACATCAGAATGTGTTTTCATGTAAAGAGAGTTGCTGCGTAATCCACCACAGAAATAAATGGATGATATCACATGACCACATCTCTCCATCTCGGACACAATGTGTTTTGTGCCATACTGTGGACATGATTTTATGTTGCAAGTGTATTCTATGTGAAAGTACACTACCCACACACATTCAAAGTTACTTAAAGTGAAATCTAAGAATGAAAGAAGAATGCTATATTAAACTGAAACAGTACTCACAGCCAATGCTTGCACCATTGCCAGGTAAAGTATAGCCAAGTCATCTAAAGAACTTGACAGAGTAAGGCCACAGACCTGTGAGAAACAAGGTAATAGATGATGATGATGAGACGAAAAAAAAAAAAACATTTTACTACACTCATAAAACTTCATAAAATGATACAAATCTGTCTATAGGGTAGATTACACATGAGACTGCTGCTCAATAATAGACATATTATAACCTAACTAGTGATTGTAAGAAATTCTAATGCAATTTTTAAAAAGCCATAATCTTAAGGCAGATGAATACCTATGTGTGCATTAATGTATTTGTAGAAACAAATACACAGTACACAGGCCTACACAATACAAATAAGTTATGATCAATAAATAATTATTCATAGCTTGACATTTAGAACAATAGACACCTAAAGATGGATGTCTATTCATTTAAAGCAGGGGTCTCCAAACTTTTCAATCCGAGGGCCGCATCGACTATCAAATTTCAGTTCGGGGGCCAGTTACTTCCAGGCATGTCTTTGATTTCTCTGGGCAAAGTTCCTCAGCCATCATCAACAAACGTTTTTTCCGTGGACAAAAAGATTTCCGCGGGCCGGATAAGAGGACATCGCGGGCCGAATGCGGCCCGCGGGCCGTAGTTTGGAGACCCCTGATTTAAAGCATGCAATTATAATAGTAGCAATTAGTAATTCAAATTAATTGAAAAGTTTGGTAAGAAAAAAATAGCTTTAGAAATAATTTTACCATCCCCTTAAGACTTGGGTCAGCTAGAGGTGATCGATTCCCATGGAAATCTGGCCAAATGTGAACATTTTGAGTTAAGTGAGCAGCTGATGGCAGATTGGTTTGGTTTGCCATGTCCTGGATATGTTGATTTAAGAAATCGTAGGGGTGAACGCACCTGCCAACAATTTTTGGTTAATTATAGTCATAAATCTAGATCCTACAACCAACATTAGCTACCACATTTTGAGATGACAAAATATAGATGCTGGTATGATGTCTTAATGAGTTTCAAATTAAATTTTTAATAAAAAAACAAAATTTCTATATCATAAGCATTTGTTGAGAGCTTTTACTACAATGTGTGAAGGGGAATTAAGTTGTTTTAAAAATCCTTAGAGTACTAAAAATGTATGTCATTAAGCGATGAAGTAATAGTATATAACAAAGGCATCAATCTTACTTTTCTTTGGCTAACTCTTGAATTGTAGAAAATGATGGATGGGTAAATGTAATAAAGTCCATCTAAAAGAAAAGAAATTGACATTACAATTTTTTTTAAAGTAAAAAATAGTTATGTCCAAAGGCATTTCACCAAAGGCATTTCACATCCAGGATAATGCCCAGTAGCCTTTACTAATCTAAGTGAAGGTCAAATGTTTGTTTAAAAGATCTAAGCAGTTTCTCCCAGGCATCTCTTCCAAGAAAGTCTACCCCATCCCCCCAAAAATGAGATGGATTTTATAAAGTAAACATAAACTTTTACTAGTGTGTGTCCCTGAAAATTTCAACCCCCCCCCCCCCCCCCAGAGAAATAAGTCTGGAAGAAACACTGGATCTAAGCAAGTTAGAGAGCTCATAGCCTGCCTTTCTTTCAAAGCAATCTATTTGAGTAGAAAATAATCTTGACAAAATGTTAAAAAATTACCAGTTTGCCAGTAGCACTCTGTCCTCCTTCATTGACCCACATTTCAGGAAGTATAGCAGAATGATAAGGGCCCCAAACTCCAGGTACAAACGTTCCTTTCTTGCTGCACTGTTATTTTTATTGAAAACTTAAATTTGAACAAAAAACATGAACTTACATTAAGTAAAGCTAGAGATCTAGAAATCTACTAATATTGTTTTGATAGTGGGTCTGTATTATTTCCTTGCTATTTTTAAATGCATACAAAAACCTCCAATTTAAAAGTGACTTATTGAATCATGTAAAATATTTATCAAAACAAATGTCTACTTACTATGATATGGCAGGTTGAAGTCCCTGCAATAATGACTAGACTATTTTCTATTTCTGATGTCCAGGTCTTACCACTTGGGCAACAACCTAGACAAGCTGACCAACAAAAACAAAATTCAACATCAGAAACATATGAAATAAAATTAATAATAGTTAAATAACAAGCATATTTTTAAAAGAATAATGACCTAAGAAAAAAAAATTGAACATAATACTTTGCTGCATTATTTTAGTAATTTTAGTCTGTTCATTATTTTCTCTGAATTATTTATTTATAATATTTAATAACATAATAACTCTTATGAAATCATAAAGTAAATAAGTCTATTTTCATAGATGCTACTAAGCGACAGAAAATGTTATTAGTAAGCCTAGGTCTATATACAGTCTAAAAGTTATCTTAATAATTAATATAATTATTTTAATTTTTCAAACAAGTGAACAACAACTAATTCAAATGAATGTGGTTATATAATCAACACAAAATTAACTGCAAAGAAATTTTTTTCCTCAACAAAAATTGTGATTTGTAAAAAAAAATATACTGTAAAACATTAACTGTAAAACCAAAATTTTAAAACTTTCCTTTATTGAAAGAAAACTACAAGATGCAGAGAAAAAAAAACATGATTAGCTATTTATAAAACATATTACCCATAAACCCCCTCCTAAAAAAAACATCTAAATTTTTCTTATGTTTTTAAATAATCTATCACAGTTTAATTTTTTTGGATAGAAACCTATAAATGTATTTTTCACTTTACCCAAGGCACCAGCATGAGCATCAATGAGTGAAGTTCCCACAGGTGTGTTGGCTGGAAGTCCAAGACTAGCAGCTACCTCCTGCAATAATCCACTTCCACAAGCTGTCCCAGGTCTTTGAACTTGATTTCCTATTTAAGTAATAAGGAAGGGGAGAGAATATGCATTATTTTCTTAGCAAGCAGAGTCCTTATAAGTTACAGCATAAAAAATGTTATTAGTCAACATTTATTTGTTATTTTTATTTTTTAAAATAAAGCAAAATATATAGCAAATTAAACTTCGATTTATTTTTCTAAGTCAAAAACTTCATACTCAATATAATGTAAATTTACACGGTGAATTAGTAGATGATTAATTACCAATCTTTAAGTGGTCATCAATGACTAAATCACTTAAATTTATCAAACTGAGAAAATCATCACTCCAGCCTTTTCCTCCATCATATCCCCACTTACATATGGTAGAACATAAAGATCTATAAAGACAAGTGAAAATAAACTAAAGTTTCAAAATGTTTGTTTTAGTTTTACATTTTTTTAAATGTTATTCAAAACATTTTGCATATCAAATTTGTATATAGGCCTACAGAAGAATAATATAAACATAAACAGTGTATTGTTAATGTTATACTATAGTAATTAACCTGCTTAAACTCCCTGTTGATTTCCATGTTAGAAAATCTGGCAAGTCCATAAGGTGACCAATCTTTGCCCAAGTGTCAGGAAGGTTCTGAGAAATGAAAAAGTACACAATTTTTACAAAAACAATTATAATAAAAATCAATTAACTATAAGTATGATTCATAAGAAAAAAAAGAAAGTTTATATCCTCAAATGAGACATGACAGATTATTGAGTTTCATTGATTTGATTGAACGTTTTAGTATTGTTGAAAGATAAATATTGATGATGAAATAAAACTAACATTTTTGTAGGTTGCCATGATAGACATATGTAGTAGCCTGCTAAGGTATAGAACTGAACATGATAATTGCAACTGTGTAATGCAGACCATACAGTTTCATTACATCATCTTTTCCCGTTCGTGCCCAAGACATATGAGGCATATGAAGTGGAGTTCATCTGTTTCAGTGACCTCGGCATATGTAGGGATAGTGTGGTCAGCACTTTGCCCAGCCTTCTTTACTTTCCCTAACCTGAGTTAGGTACCCATCAGAACTGGGTGGACTCAGGAACATTCTACTGACTTGAACCCAGATTCGAACTTGAGACTTTTGGGTTAGCAGTATAGTTCTCTACTGCTAGACCATGCCGTCCCATAATATCATTATATACTAAGGTATATACCTTTTACCTGATTGATTTATAAAGTAATGTAAAGCATTTTAAATGAAAGAATAAAGCAAAGGCATAGGTCTATCATTTTGGTTACATCATTTTAAATTATGAACTCACAAAAATCATGAACAAAAATTCATCTAGATACTCTTACCTCTTTGAGCCACATTAGTTTTGGCATCTGCATCTCTAGAGACATTGTCCCACCTACTGTGTCTAGTACTGGGTGGGCAGTAGCATTGATGACACCGACCTGTCTCTCTGCTCTGTGGTCCATCCACATTATAATGTTCTGATCTTTGTCTCCTTTGTAAACAAGTATTAACTATTTGTGATAATATCTTTAAAACAGTTTTTCTCCTTAAAGTTACATCTATCAACAGTTATTTTAAATTCTGATAGAAAAAAAACATTTCTGCAGGATCGTCTTCCTTTTCTGTTTGTCCCCTAGAACACACATGGGGCAGATGAAGTAGAGTTTATCTGCTTCAGAGACCTCGGCATTTGAAGATGTGGTCAGTATTTTGCCCAACTGCCTTTTTTCCCATCAGAGACATCTTACTTACTTGAACCCTTATCTTTCTGCAGCATAGCAGTTTTTAAATATGTTAACTCATTTTTTAACCAAAACTTTAAGTAACATACCATCAATAGAGACTGTCAGTGGTAGAAAGTTTTCATCAAGCACTACCAAAGAGCAGGTGGCATCAAAGCCAATTCCTTTAATACTTTTGGGATCAACAGAAGATTCTGCTAGCGACCTCTGATTTTAAACAAATAATAAAATATTGAAGTTTTTAAAAATAATAACTTTTCAAATGAAATAAATAATATTTTAATGTTCTACTCAAAGTTATTTAAATTAGTTAACATAGTTAAAGAAGAGATTATTCATTCAATAAAAAATACAATGTTACCAGTTGATGTAAAGTAAATAAAAAACCAAAGGTTTTTTATTTATATTTAATTATCTGGCTGTTTCATATTTAATAAATTCAAGCAATCTAAGTTGATAATGATTGACAGAGATACCTGAATACTTCTGACCACAGCATTCCAAATATTAGTTGAAGATTGTTGATAGAAGTCTGATTTAGGGTTCCATATAGTGATTTCTTCAACACAGGTGGCTAGTATGGACCCAGTGTCACTGACCACACAGGCTCTTGCACTGCTGGTGCCAACATCAACACCAATATAATTCATTTTTTCTCTGGATTTGAAAATAAAAAAAAGCTTAAAAGAGTGATTTTAAGAAAAAACAAATTCTCAGAAATATTTTGTTGAAATACATCAACTCGCAACTCTGATGGGTACCTAACTCACGTTAGGTAAAGTAAAGGTGGCTGGGCATAGTGCTGACCACACTATCTCTTCATATGCCGAGGTCGCAGAAACAAGTGAACTCTACTTCGCTTGCCCCGTAGACGGTCAGGTTTGACAAGGGAACTTTACTTTACTTTTTACATAAACTCTAGTGTCTTACTTAAGAATATATACATATATTAGGGGGACTGTGTAGTTGAATGGTACCGCTGACAAATGCTATAGCGTGTCTCAAGTTTGGATAGCAGCTTAAGGGACGTCCCAGAGTCAGTCCAGCTCTGATAGGTACCCGACTTATATTTTGTTAGGGAAACAAAAGTTGCTGGGCATAGTGCTGACCAAATTATCCCCTTGTATGCTGGGATCATTAAAACTCTTCTATATCAGTCTCATGTGTCTTGGTAATGAACAGGAAAGAAGATATGTTTAGAAAATAATTTTGACTATTTAATTTGTAACCTAAATAGTTCAACTAATACTGCAATTGCGTTGAGCCATATCTAATGTGTTCTACAAAATTAAATTGATGGTAAATGATACAGTGTAGACAGTGTGTATAGATAGTCCAGATCGACCCAAAGCCCTACTCACAACCCTTGTCTTGACCTGAAAATTGACTTTAGTCAGATTGCCCCCCCCCCCCCCTGCCTATCCCTGCAGTTTAGTTGCATTTAATATAAGTTAATAGATCTAGATTCAATATTTTATATTTATGTTTAGTTAACGTTTTGCCCCGAAATAAATATAGAATGAAAATATGAAAATAATATATTATATAATCTCCTGAATCCCCTGGTCTGACCCCGGGCATTCATAAGTCATACATTTAAGGCTTGTTAGCTGGGGAGTGGGGGACAGCAACCCATCTAATCTAGGACAGAAAACTCCAAAATCAAATAACTGCTGCTAGATCTCTAGTGTATTTTTACTATTTTGCATATTATTGAATATTAATGAATAAAAATATTGTTCTTTAGTCTAGTGGACCAATGCTATGGATGGAAGCAGAGGAAAAGCAGGTAGAAGTCGGGGTCAACGGGCCATAATTAGTCCTTATGGATGGCGCATATATGTTGACAGTTGTTGACACTTCTTAATACTTGAACTTGATGACTTATCGACTTTTGTGCCAGTGTCTACTACTCTAACCTAACACACGTCATTAATGATTAATGACACAAAATGACGAAAATGTAATAGAAATACTAGATTCTAGAGTAGATAATAATAATATTTAAAAAGAAAAGATAACAAGGCATATTGCGCTAACATTACAACATTTCTTACTTTTTAAAATCCATGTCAAATTTTCTTTATTAATAGGCCTATATTATTTATAAAAATCGGTCCAAAGTCCTAACTTTTATTTCGGCTTTAAATTTTTTAAACTGAACAGTAAACACTCCCTTTGTGCTAAAAAACCCCCATAGATTCTAATTTCTTTTCGATTTTTAGTGGGACCAAATGTTTACAAAATGAAATAAGATCTAAAGAAACGGATCATAATTTTTTAAACTGTCCGAGGCTAAGTTATTTCTGGGATAAATAGATCTAGAATCTAGATCTAGATCTAGTCTAGATCTAGTTATTGTTTACACAAACCTTCATTCACTAGGACTAGAACTAAACAAAATAGACATGTCTAAAAGAGAATATGAATCAGAAAGTGAAGGTAAGATCATTTTTTTGAGACATTAAAAATTTTGAATTTTGTGTATTTAAAAAAAAAAGGTAGATCTAGAATCTAGATCTAGAATCTAGGCCTAATCTATCGTTTTAGGTAGATCTACGTAAAATCGCCCGCGACTTGTAATGTGAAAAACAGGTGACTCCTTACCTAAATTTTAATAATTATTTCACATTTTGAGGAGGATTTGTTTTTTAAAACACAAACATGTTTCCTTGTTTCATTTTTTATGAGCAAATCTTGCTCTCAGACACTGCTGTTTAAAGTTCATTTCTGGCCTTTATCGATATATTAAAATATATTTAGCAATTGATTTAGGTTTATTATTCATTTATCTATAATATTTGAGGGTGTGGGGAAATTGCGAGACGCGAAAAGCGAAATGGCGAGGCGGGAAAATGCGAGAAGGGCGCGAAAACGGCCGGTCACGTGACTTTTTTGTCTCGCATTTTACCACAAGCCGATACTTACGCTGGGTGGTGTTGAAATGCGAAGATTTCTGCGAAAAATTTACTGCACCCGATTTTCAGTGGTATTTGGTCCAGACTTCAAAGACATTTCGTTTACATTGTTAAAACTTCCGATTTTTCCGTCGCTAGACATACTGATGATTTGTCAACTCCCCCCATCTTTTGTGTCGACTTAGAATACCACCTTGTTCAAAACCGACGGAAATACCGCCGACGATAGATCAACTTCTGTCTTTTGTGTGGAACGCCGAGGCCGCCTGATTTACCTTCTTTGAAGATTGCAGTGCCCGGATCCGCTGCCGCCGCAAACATATTTTCTATTGTTGCATAGAAATTTTGTATTATAGCCGCCGCCTACGATTTTTTTCTAGCTTTTTTTACCATATAAATCTAAGCACAAGGAAACGCCTACATCATTTGGATACAACAAAATAAAGTGACGTCACCGATATTATCAGTTGCTTGTGCTATATCGTAAGCTATGGGCCTACTTCAAATATTTTTAAAACCAAGTTGAACTTATCTGAATTTTTTTGGTTTTGGTGTTATTTGGGGTCTTCCATAAATGACGTCACACTCGTAAAGGGGGGGGGTCTGTAATTTTGTGATGAGGGGGAGGAGGGGGGGGTTAGATGTGAAGTCACACTATAAAAAAGCAATGTTAGAAAAAGAATTTTAGACGTTTTTTCGGCGTTTTAGAAAACTGTTTTAATACATTATAATAGGAATTGATTAAAATACTCTATTTTGACAGAAATTAGACAAGATTTTGGGAAAATATCGATGTTTTAAAAAAACTCAACTGCTGATGACAACAATGAGCAAGACATTGCCAAAATTACAGAAATGATAAAAAATACAAATTATAAATAACGGAAAACAGATGTTGAGCGTGCGGATGATGATGATGAGAACATGGGTGCCAGTGTTGTTTGTGGGATGAACGAGGAGGTCAACTGTGATGAGAATGTGAAATGTTGTGAATGTGGATTGGAAGAAGTAGCAAAAGAAAAATGTATAAATGGGAGTCTAATGAACTGGGTTGGGTGTACTATGTGTGAAAGATGGTGTCACGAGGTGTGTTTGAGGACTGTTTCAGAAGATTTTGTTTGTAAATTTTGTTTGTAATTAAAATTACTTAATAAAATAATAAATTGCACTTTTTAGAATTGTTTATAATTTTACACTTTTTGAAAGTACAAAAATCCATAAATAGATGTTGCAAAATATCTCTCCTGCTGACAAGATTATACCAATTCACAATGACACAGCTCACGTTTGTATAAACATGAGCGGGCTAGATTTTTAAATTAATGCCAACTGAGACAGAATTTTCCTCTCGCTAACAAGAGCGGGCGATGACAGTAGCACAGCAACGATGTTAGAATTTTTAAATAGATAGATCTAGATATAGATCTATCTATCTTCTTAGTATCTATAGATAAAAAAAAAAACATACAACACTCGTGTTAAAGGGTATGGCAAAATGCTTGTTTATTTAAAAAAAAAAATAATTTAAATAAAGATGGAAAAAAAAAGGAAAAAACTTTTTTCGCAAAAAGTGTCTCGCTATTTACCCTTAGTTCCGCAGGTATGTCTCGCATTACCTTCTCGCATTTTCCCGCCTCGCCATTTCGCTTTTCGCGTCTCGCAATTTCCCCACACCCAATATTTGACACAAACATATGACAATATGCTTCTTTTAAAGCCTTGACCAATGAGTTAACGTTTTCGTACATTAATAGCCGCGGGCGATTTTAAGTACCCAAAACGATAGATTACCGTAAAATCGTACCTAAAACGATAGATTACCCAAAAAAAATTAGTTTTAGAGTTTAGTTTTAGGCCGACTTGTAATGTGAAAAACAGGTGACTCCTTAAATTTTAATAGGCCTAATTATTTTACATTTTGAGGAGGATTTATGTTTTGAAAAATACAAAAATGTTTCCTTGTTTCATTTCATACCTGTTTTTAAACAATTGAATTAAAACTTTTCAGTAATAAATGAAGACTAGCGATGTTTCCAACAGATGCAACCATGCTCATTCACTATAGCAGCCATCTTGTTTATTTTTTTTTATTGTAAACTTATAGCGCAAGATTCAGGGGAAGCCACTCTAACTTACAGATGGTCGCTTTTTATATAGCAAATCCTGCTTGCAAACACTGCTGTTTAAAGTTAATTTCTTGCCTATATTGATATATTTAGCCATTGATTTAGGTTTATTATTCATTTATCTATAATATTTATTTGACACAAATATATCACAATATACTTCTATTAAAGCCTTGACAATGAGGTAACTTTTTCGCATATTACCAGCCTCGGACGATTTTACGCACCTAAAACAATAGATTACCTTTAGGCCTACTACTTACTAGATCTAGACTCTATTTTACTATTTTTTATTGCTTCTTTTTAAAAATTTTACAATGATTTTTTTTTAGCCTATTCTAATAAAATTTAGTTTTTTTAAACTTAGGCCTAAGAATAAGGATTAGTAAATTAAGTTAATAAACTTTGGATGATATTATTTAGAATTGACCCTTTGAATCCCGGACAGATTGTCCTCCGGTGTGGCGTCAGCTGACTGGCAGATGCTAAACGCAATGACCTAATAGGTGCACAATAGGCTCAAATAAATTACATTATTCTACTGACAAAACTAACTATATAGTGTGGTTGAGCAGTTTTGCTTTGGCCAGATCATCAGGGGTTGAGGGTTCAATTCCAATTTTTCAGGCTATAGATTCTATAGGCCTAAAATATATAGTAGCCTATAGTATTTTAAATATACATGGAAGCCCTATATCGGGAGAGTAAACTATAACTATAAAAAGAAATCTATTTTAATAGCCTATTGAAATCTACTATTAAGTTTTTATCGTTTTATCATGTTATTGTTTGTCCCATCAAGACAACACGACATAGGCCTAAACATTTAGACGACAAGAAAAACCCGGTCACTGTAGTGCTGTTTTGTTAACATAAGCATGCACATCTTCTACAGGTTAGATCAATCTTAACCTTATGCAGAGAGGCCTGACTATGTGGAGCACACAGGAGTTCCTAGCATTTTTAACTTTGTAAAACGTATTCTAAAAATTGGTATCTGGAATACTGTTCAAACTCCAAATGTACCTTAGGCGATGTAATAGCACTTTATTTAAACATTAAATTGTTAAGATGAAAAAAATCGGGGGTCCCGATATCAATGTTTAGAATGCGATTGGTCTAGTGAATAAAATTAGATGACTGGTGCTTTGGTCGAATGCAGCTTTTTGATGGCCTAGCCTAATTTTAACTTTGTAAGGGTCAGGCCTAAATTTATTAGTTATTATTCACCTCTCTGAATTAAATCTAAAACTCTGTGATGATACAAGCTACATGTCATAGAGGTCAAGCAGAAGATAGCAGAAACAGAGCATGGGTTAGTCAGGTGGGTTAGTCAGGTGGGTTAGTCAGGTGGGTTAGTCAGGTAGACCTATAGAATTACAGGAGATGACCGGTCACGTGAGATTAGATTGTCTGATGACCAGTGGGGCAGCAGTTAGAGATAGTTAGCACTAGAGGATAGATGCAGAAAGCTGTAAAGTAGTGTTAGAGTTGGTCATGGAAGCGTGTAGGGAGAAGTCAAGTGTTAGTTGTAGTTAGATAGTGTTAGTAGACAGTCATGTGTTAGGACCTAGTTATGGTAGGAGTCAATTTGATATGTAAATAAAGAACTGTATTATATTGAATTGGACCTTTTGTGTTGATTCCACACACAGTACCAGGCGTTTATGAGAAGACACAATCCTCGTAGTAAGAATATATACCTATGTTGATGACGGAACATAACTGTTATATAACTCTCACTAAACCCGGCATCACATTTGGTGGAGCTGTCACATACTCCGAATGCATTGATTGTAAAAAAAAATGAACCAAAAAAGAAACTTAAAAACCAACCCAGTCCATGCTATGTTTTTATATGGGCTTTAGTGAGTGTCATGATATTGTACAGTTCTTTTATACCTAAGTCATATAGTTGTTACTTAATATTATTGACGTGCTTGATGATTAATATTTCTATTTAACATTAAGATTTTAATTTTCATGATTGTTGTTCCAACAACATTGTCAAGGATTTTGGTAGTTTTGTTAACTGAATGACTTAGATATAGGTCAAAATAATTAATATATATCTGTAACCTAATTAATCTAATGATTTTTATTTCACTAATCAGGTGTAAGCATGAAGCTCTTTAAAGGAGATGATGGAGAGCAAGAAGAATCCTCCGCTTCAGGTAGATCAGGGAGGGTAAGTACAGGTGTTTTTTAAAATCAAGGTATAGAAAAAATATAACGAAGTGCGGCCATATTTCATGTAATGAAAGCAGAGAAAGTGTGGCAAATGTATGATTGATTTTGAATAATATAAATATATCTACAAATACTATTATACTGTATATAAAGACCTTAAAGGGTTGGCATCTCATATAATAGCCTGTTGTAAAATCATTTACAGCCTCTTTATTCTAATGTTCATTTATGTAAATCAACATTGATATGGAAATAGAAATTTTGCACATACAATAAACTATAACATAAATAATTTCTGTGCTGAGTTAAAATAGTAGTCACCGATAAAATAGTATTTTACAAACATTTTGGCTAATGCAGTTAACAGATATTTTGTAGTCATTTAATCCATTTACTGTAGAAAAAATGATGAACTTGGGTTGAAAATAAAAGACAATTATTATCATTTGATAATTGAATAATATATAGTACTCTGGCAAAGTAATGCAAACACTCTTGTATATAGCAGTAAATTTATGCAATCATGAAGTGCTATATTAACTAGAATAATCAAAATTATGAGCTAAATTAAAAGAATATAATATAAATTAACATTTATGTGTCTTTGCTTATTTATTCTCTTGTTAGGATTTTTAAAACGGATGTGCATACAGTAGCAAAAAGATTGGAAACTGCTAATGCATAACAACATAATTTGGTCGATTATATCTCTGTGGTGTCAAACTAGTCAATTCTATCTTATGGTGTCACAATTAGTCAAGTCAATCTCCATGTTGTCACAACTACTGAAGTCCCTGTTTCTCCAAATAACAGAAAGCTAAAAAAAAAATCTTAAGCAGAACAATAGATGTTAAAAATGTATGGTAAAATAATTATTATAATTGTTACCAGGTGAGAAAAAAATCTGCCAAGGTCCTTGAAATGGAAGAGTTTGAACAGGTAGAAAAAACTCAGCAAGTTACCAAAAAAGGCAAAACTCCGAAGCCCAAATTAACAGATTCAAGTGAAAAGGTGAAGACACCCACTAGTAGCAAAAAGATAAAGGATGGCAGCAAAAAGCTAACAGCAACAAAGATAGACACAACACCAGTCAGTCGACCACATGTAGTAACTGCACCTGTCCAAAAAAAGATCCAGGTATTTTTGTTTAAATCTTTACTCATAAGTCATCTTTACATTTAAATTTTTACCACTGCTTATGCATTTTATTATGTCCTGGAATATACTAATTTTCCTGAAAAATGCCTAAAATTTGATATTCGTTTTGGTGCATGAACCCTGGCTTATAAGTTATACGAAACATGAAGTAGTTTTTTGTTTTAGTTTTTTGTACACAATAATACCATTAGTATTTTCTGAGTCTGACTAGATTATTTACCAAGCAAGAAAAACATACTCAGTTGTAGGGTAAACCACTCTCAAGTTGTAGGGCAGACCACTCACTGAGCCATCAAGCAGTTGTCCCAAATATTTTTTTAAATTTTACATAAATTTTATTAAACTGTAGGGCAGACCACTCACTGAGCCATCAAGCAGTTATCCCCAATATTTTTTTAAAATTTTACATAAATTTTATTAAAAATATGAATAGTTTAAAATGAGAAAAGCTTATCAGCAAAATAATTAAATCTTGTTTTTTAAAAAACTTCTTTCCCCAGCTTAAGTCAGATTTGGGGCTGAGCCCGACAGAACTGCTAGCGGCCACCATAAAACAGGAGATGTCTCCTACAATCTCCCAGCCCGTGGTCATAAAAACAGAGGACGACAAGAGTGTCATCAAGTACTTGCTGAGTTCCCCCACGTCTGGCTCCAAGATATCCGCTCACCTCTCTCCTCCTTTCAGTGAGGAGAAGAAGGTCATCAAGCAAGAGAAGAAGAAGAAAGAAACCACAGGCGCCGACACGCCTGGATTAAAGATGAAAATATTTGCAAGCAGCGACCCACTCACAGCCCAGGTGTCCATATCCACTCAGCCAGTCAAAGTCAAGAAGAGGAAGGAGAAAGCGGAGAAAAAACTTGATGTAAAAGAGAAGCCGGAAAAAAAGGCCAAATTTTTATTAGACACGTCTCATTTCTCAGACGACGTGAAAGAATCCGAGGAGGAGGTAACTCCCCCACCTGCTAAAAAAGTCAAGAAAAAAGGTTTAAAGAAAAAAGAACAGCTAATTTTAGAAGCCATTTCTGCCGCTCAGCAGATGCCGAATCTCGCAGCATTAGGTATAAATTGTTCTGCTAATTATTTCATAAAAACTTGTTTATAGTTTTACATTATTACATATTATTTGCCATGTTATTTAAATTTTTTCAGTTTAAAAAATTTCTGTTGTTTATTTTAGTAGCATCACCACATGCAGGACAGGGGACGTCAAGTGTATCTGATAAGATCAAGTCACCAATAAGGTAAGGCATTCAGTATAGGCAATGGATGTTTGGTTTGTGTAAGATAAAACTAGTTATTTAAACTTAACAAAAACTGATGCATGATGTTGAGTCCGGGTTTAGTTCAACACAGAAAATGATTAGTGGCAATCTTTATTTGATCTCAACTCTCCACATTACATAGTAGCCCTTGCCCTAACCTCTACCAATTTACCCCCTGACAATCATTCACTCCAGCTTTTATACCACATTCGACTTTGGGATAACAATACATAAACACACCCGTGTTAACTACACACCAAGGTAAACTCAACTCTCACACGCACTCTCCCCTAAGTTCTATATTATTCTAGCCTATTTCTATCTAACCTACAACTGACCCATTACACATGATACATTTTTTACCCTAATTATTTGCAGATAAATTATGAATAGGTGCGATTTTAAAGGCAGATTATAATGGCAGTATTTGTGAATACATAGTTTCAATGTGTAACAGTATGTGGATGGGGGAGTAGTTGTGCTGAAGTGTTGTGTTTATCTTTAGAGATACGCCAAGTCCAACATTAGACAACTCTATGGATGATGAAGAAGAGATGAACCTCATTATATCAGAGACTGAGGAGAAGAAGAAGAAAAAACACAAAAAGAAAAGTAAATGCTCAAAAAAAATTTCTTCATAATAATTATTGCATAGATTTTTTTAGGAAATAAGTTAGTACTAATTTTCTTTAGGGTGATATAGAATACATATGTTAATAGTGAAGTACAGTTGAAATATGTTTGAACCAATATTGGAAAATATTAGGATATAATATATACTTTGCCAATTTACATTCTTGTAGGTCTTATAGCGAAGGACCGGGCCGAATCAACTAGCCCAAAGGTAATTAATTTTATTTTGATTATAATAGGTAGGCTGTAAAAAATTTTAGTTGTTTTTTTTTTTACATATATTTACCTAGTCACCCCGAATTCAAAGCCCCAAACTAGCTTGATGGTGATTTGTTTCAGAGTGATAGTGCAGATAGCAAGAAGCGTGCTCCTACAGCCTACATGTTGTTCTGTAACACACATAGACCAAACATTGTTCTTGAAAACCCTGGCATAGGTAAAAACATAGATCATTTCTACATCCTGTTATGATAAGGAATGGGAAGTATTTTAATTGCAGTGTTAACTGCATGAAGATTAAAAACAATTGTTCTAATGACTCATTCACATGGGAGTTAACCCTCTGGGTTCTGATGATTGTCTTTTATCCTGTGTCTAGTTGGTCAGATTTTAAAACATTTTAATGTCTTAATCTTATCAATGTTTACTCTTGGTTGTAGAGTTTGCTGGAATCAGCAGGAAACTTGGAGAAATGTGGCAGACACTGTCCAACAAACAGAAACTGGTATATTTTAGTTAATCACAAGAAACCCTAGTATTTTTATATGCATACCCTAAGACATTTTTTTATCCCTCACTCTAGCATTTTAATATGCATACCCTAAGACATTTTTTTATCCCTCACTCTTAAAGAAATTATATGAATCTGTCTAGTTCAGCACAATGCTTTCTGTAGTGATTTTAAATGAAGCTTATCTTTTGCAATAATCAGAGAAAACAAGGTTCTGTACAAAGTTGAGCACTTCTGACCTGTGTACTTCTGACCTCTGTAAAATATTACTTCCACAAACATACATTTTTTAAAATTAGTCTTTGTTGAGTCATTTTTATTTTACTGTGCAAGTTTAATATGATTCAACCTACTTTGGGGCTGAATAGGGGATGTAGACTTTGATATGAAGCAATACTAACTTTTATTATTAAAATATTTGTTGTAATTTTTTTTTAAACTGAAACAATTTTCCTTTTGGCTTCAAGCGTTAAATTTATAAAGGCTTCCTTAACATTTATTGTAGGCTAATGATATTAAAAAATTGAAGCTTCAATTAGTTTCCATAACACTTATTGTTTAAATTTATTGTAGTGAATTATTTTAAATTCTAAAGACAATTTTCTTTTTGGCCTCACTCTTGAAAGTTATTTTGGTTTCATTAATTTTAATCCTACTCCTGCAGCAATGGCGAAGGAAGGCACAGAGAAGGAGAAAGAAAGGCTCTAATCTCATTTCTACCGGCAAAGTTGGGAAAGAGACTGGCCCTTTGCAAACCAGCACACCCTCTCATAAGTTTTCTACACTGCTGGTCAAAACCCAACGGTCAAGTCCAGAAGAAATACCTTTAAGTCCAACCAAAGCTGGGGACCAGGTATGTCTTAACTTCACTTAGTCAAGTCATACTTAATCAAGTCATTAGATAAAGTAGAAAATAAACTATATAAAAAACTTTTTAAAAACCACGTTTTTCATGTGTAGCAACGGACTAAAAAGGAGAAAATAAAATACTTAAAAATCGGGCAGATGGGTCGGGAAATTTGATGGTGAACGTACCCACATTTTTTGTCAGTCATCACAAGAACCTGCACAGCTCGAGGAAGCACAAAAGAAAAATTTATTTTCTACTTTTTAGTCCACAAGAAAAATGTGGTTTTTTTAAAAAGTTTTTTTTAAGTATTTTATCTAAAAAAATTCCTTAGCATAAGAGTTTTTAAATAGCTTGAATTAATTAAGCCATGTTATAATTAATCTTTACTATGAATTTGCATGAGTAAAGTAATTTTTATATCATTTTAATACCATGCAGAATTTGAGTATTGAACCCATAGATGTGGCAGCTCATTTAAAACTGTTAGGGGAATCTTTAAGCATTATTGGTATGAGGCTACAAGAACACAAGGTAATAAGATTTTTTTTTTACTTTGTCATATAAGGAGTATAGGGGATGTATTGTAACTGTGCAAAAAAAATTTAAGATCTGAAAACCCCAGTTTTACAATCTTGTCTGTTAATGAACTAGTGTTGTCACAAACATGCCTACTATTTTTATAGTATGATTCCACTGGACAAACTCTTACATAATTTTTGATAATCATCTCCTAGATTTATTTTTCTGCGTATACTACTGTATATAAACTTTTGGAATATTGTTTATTATTTATAATATTTAAATTGTAACATATCTGATGAAAAATGTCTGCAATCATTGGTGAGATTTAACATTCAGCACTCCTATGTTTTTGTTTTTTTATTTTCTGTTCTGCTTGACTCTTTGATTTGTGCTCTGTCTTACACAACACTCCTTTTGTTTTTTTTAACTAGGGAATGATCGCAGTACAAGGCAGTCTGTCTGTTCTCCTGGACTCTTTGATTTGTGCTGTCTTACACCACTCCTTTTGTTTTTTTTTAACTAGGGAATGATTGCAGTCCAAGGCAGTCTGTCTGTTCTCCTGGATTCTTTGATTTGTGCCTGTGGTCCCCTGCTCTAACACAACACTCCTTTTGTTTTTTTCTAACAAGGGAATGATTGCAGTCCAAGGCAGTCTGTCTGTTCTCCTGGATTCTTTGATTTGTGCCTGTGGTCCCCTGCTCTAACACAACACTCCTTTTGTTTTTTTCTAAACTAGGGAATGATTGCAGTCCAAGGCAGTCTGTCTGTTCTCCTGGATTCTCTGATTTGTGCCTGTGGTCCCTGCTCTAACACAACACTCCTATTGTTTTTTTAAACTAGGGAATGATCGCAGTACAAGGCAGTCTGTCTGTTCTCCTGGACTCTCTGATTTGTGCCTGTGGTCCCCTGCTCTAACACAACACTCCTATTGTTTTTTTAAACTAGGGAATGATCGCAGTACAAGGCAGTCTGTCTGTTCTCCTGGATTCTTTGATTTGTGCCTGTGGTCCCCTGCTCTAACACAACACTCCTAAATTTTTTTTTAACTAGGGAATGATTGCTGTACAAGGCAGTCTTTCTGTTCTCCTGGATTCTTTGATTTGTGCCTGTGGTCCCCTGCTCTAACACAACACTCCTAAATTATTTTTTTAACTAGGGAATGATTGCTGTACAAGGCAGTCTGTCTGTTCTCCTGGATTCTTTGATTTGTGCCTGTGGTCCCCTGCTCTAACACAACACTCCTTTTGTTTTTTTTTAACTAGGGAATGATTGCTGTACAAGGCAGTCTGTCTGTTCTCCTGGACTCTTTGATTTGTGCCTGTGGTCCCCAGCTCTAACACAACACTCCTATTGTTTTTTTTTAACTAGGGAATGATTGCAGTCCAAGGCAGTCTGTCTGTTCTCCTGGATTCTTTGATTTGTGCCTGTGGTCCCCTGCTCTAACACAACACTCCTTTTGTTTTTTTTTAAACTAGGGAATGATTGCAGTCCAAGGCAGTCTGTCTGTTCTCCTTGACTCTTTGATTTGTGCCTGTGGTCCCCTGCTCTAACACAACACTCTTTTTGTTTGTTTTTTAACTAGGGAATGATTGCAGTCCAAGGCAGTCTGTCTGTTCTCCTTGACTCTCTGATTTGTGCCTGTGGTCCCCTGCTCTAACACAACACTCCTTTTGTTTGTTTTTTAACTAGGGAATGATTGCAGTCCAAGGCAGTCTGTCTGTTCTCCTGGATTCTCTGATTTGTGCCTGTGGTCCCCTGCTCTAACACAACACTCCTTTTGTTTGTTTTTTAACTAGGGAATGATTGCTGTACAAGGCAGTCTGTCTGTTCTCCTGGATTCTCTGATTTGTGCCTGTGGTCCCCTGCTCTAACACAACACTCCTTTTGTTTGTTTTTTAACTAGGGAATGATTGCAGTCCAAGGCAGTCTGTCTGTTCTCCTGGACTCTTTGATTTGTGCCTGTGGTCCCCAGCTCTAACACAACACTCCTTCTGTTTTTCTAAACTAGGGAATGATTGCAGTCCAAGGCAGTCTGTCTGTTCTCCTGGACTCTTTGATTTGTGCCTGTGGTCCCCTGCTCTGTCTAACACAACAAGTGCCTGGGATGGATGGCTGTTCTCCACAAGTTCACTCTCAAACTCTGGACAGTGTTGCATATGTCATGCCTGGTTTGTAGAGGGGGAAATTGTTTCAGCTTCTGTACATATCTCATCTGGTGTCATGTTGAATGAAATTTTTTTTTTATTTGTTTTTTTTTTACTTTAGTTTAATAGTTATAAAAAATGGTTCATATTTTTAAAATCAAAATGTTTCGTATTTTTAAATAGATATAAAAAAAACTTATATGACTAGAAGTTTCTTATCAACCTGATGTCTATTGTTAAAAACAAATTGTCTTATTGAAAATTCTAATATATTTTAGAATATTTATTGTAAAAATTATTTTAATTTCTGAACTCAAACTAAAGTTGTTTTTATATTGTGGCATAACAAAAAAAAACATGCTTGAAAAAAGAATTTTGTATATAAAAAAATTATGAATAATAAAAATTATACATTTAATATAAAATTAAGATGATTTGCAGCTTCCTAAATAGGAAGTTGTGGTTAATCTCAGGATACTCAAAAGGGTATGACTTTTTATAAGCTCTGCATTTATAACCATGTTTAACATAGGGAAAGGGTTAGGTATAAAGTGAGGGAGATGTATGGGTATAATATGTATTCTGGGAGGGGGGGGAATGGGTGCTAATTATTATTGTTCCTAGACCTGGTTTAACATGGGCAAAGTATTTTTTTTTTGTAAACATTTGTTTTTAAATTAATATGTAAAAAGTATATGTCTTATGTTATTGATTGTGTATTAGTCTTTAATTTTATCTAAGATAAAATTGTATTAAAAATTGAATTTTTTTATGTTTTTAAACAGCAGCCTGTTTTATAAATTGAGTCATTGAGATTTCAATAGAGATTTTGATTGTAAATCTCTGACCAAAACAATAGAATCAGGAGACGGGATGTTGAAAACACTTAACAAATGATTATTGATATAATAAAACAAACACAATTTTTGTGCAAATCTCTTTAACTTTTGCATTTTGAAGTCAGTTTTATTTTTAAAAAAGGAACATTTCAATCAACTTAAAGAATATTTAGAACAAGTCAATAATTATAAAATAAAATAATGTTAACAAAAGCAGATGGCCAACAATCATTGATCATGTATAAAGAAAAATGAATATGTGAAGTTTTAATCAAAATTATATTAAATAATAGTAATAGTCAATTATTAGTTGCAAAAAAAAAAATTGATCAGAAAAATCAGTACAAATGAGTTTGATGAAATGAGTGTAGAAGATAAAAATATATAGACACAACTCATGAAGTTTTTATTAAAACAGCTCCCAGCCCTCTTGTACGTTTACAGAGTGATCTGTACACAATCACAGTGTGTACCATCACATTGCGGCTGGTATTTAAGCATCAGTGTATCACTGCGTACCATCACATGTTATATTAGTTTGTACACAACATTACTGCGTACCGTTACTGGTGTGGCTGGTACACAGTCGCAAGGTACCATCACATAGGGAGTGGTAAATGATCACAGTATTATATATTATAACAACACATCATGGCTAGTAGTAGTAGTAGTAGTTGATAAAAAAAATTTATGTGTACACAATTTGATCTTGTACTCAATGAGTTACTGCCCATGAAATTATTAAAAACTTCTAAAAAATGTAATTGAAATTAAATTTAATCAACTTCCTACCACAACAGTTATAGAAGGATTACTAGCGGAATAAATTAGCATGAAAATCTCATAAAGCTAAATAATTTCCCTCAAAGGTTTATCTAATTGTCGAAAAGAAAATTAATAATATTAAACATTCACAGTCTAGTTAGGTGAGGCACTCAAAATCTACTTTTTGTTCAGTGAAAGCCTGCAAATTTCCCTATACATTCACAGTCTAGTTAGGTGAGGCACTCAAAATCTACTTTTTGTTCAGTGAAAGCCTGCAAATTTCTACACACCTTAACGCTGCAAATATTGCTGTAAAGATTTCACAGAGATTTACAAAACAACATTAAAATGACGAAACTGCTTCCGTGTTCGGAAGACGCAATGACAGCAGCAACCATTGTGATCCTTTGCTCGTCAATAACAAAATAATTGTTGCAATTGATGTTAAATTAAAAAATATAAGTTTTGTAGTGTTGTATAACCATAAACCTATTAATTTTTGCACCAATTCAAACTTACATGATTAAATTTAACCATTAACCTATTAACTATTTTGCCAATATAACTTTCAGGGTTATAATTAACCATAAGCTTTCCTAAAACTGATAAATTAAAAATTGACATATTTTTTTTAATCTAAAAAAATTTTTCAATTAATGTGGTACTTCATCCAATAGATTCCCCAACAAAATGGGGCAGTCTCTCTATTTAGAGTTAGAGGCTAAAATACACCATCTTAATTATGCGGGAGCCTTCTATAGCTTTATAATTTTAACATGGACATATAAGACTTAGCAAGGTAATAGTTTGAGAGAACTGTATTTAATGCTTGTTTAGGGTTTCTTTCAGGTAATTTTTTTTCAAGGGGTGCACTTGCAACTTTTTGAGGGAGGGTGTTGAACAATGGTTGAAGTTCTTATTTTCTAAATAAATTATATAATTTTTTATTAAAAGTACACTGTACGCCCCCCCCCCCCTCCCCAATGGAGAGACAACTAAAAGAAACATTCCATATCTGGATGTTAATCTTTGGCTTTAAAGTAGACAAAAAAAATCTGATAGTCCCCATTGTAGTCCTAGTATTTGCTGCAAGATCAATAACTACACAGATTAATCATTAATTCACTTTAAAAAATGTGATTTTAAAAAATCACATATTGCTAATTGTTATATAGGATCCCTTAGCAAAAAAAAAAAAAAGTGTTTTAACTTTTTAAACCTTTTTTTAAAAAGTTTACATGTTTTCATCAATGTTTTCATAAAAATGTAAAAAAAAAAAGTTTTTGGTAGGTCTATCCATACCTGACTGAAGTGATTCACAATTTTACTACACACAAAATATTCCTCCCCATGTAAGGAGTATGTTTTATATCTATACACTACACAAAGAAAATCATTATAATTAGTATAATATTTAGTCCAGGCCTAATTTTTGTATTTCATCATCATATTTATAATCAATATCATCAAGCATTTTAAATTATGTAACAAAAATAGAACAATGATTACTGTAATAATAAACTTATATACAAAACAGTATAATAAATTATAAAAATAATGCAATGAATAAATTAAGTATCTACATAGAAACAAAAACGTCGCTTTTAAATAGAACTAAAACGCGGCAGGTAGACAACTAGATCTGGTATACTGTGTGTAATGAAGCAGTTTGGGCAGATTTTTTTATATTTATATGGCGCCAAGCAGCGGATTATATGATGCATTTTAGGAACATTGAACGACTCATGGAATTGATATTCTGTCATCATATTTCCAAAAGTAAAGCAACGCGTTTTCAATTTTAAACAGATCTGTCATCCGCCTACTGCATACACGAGACTTAAGTACAAGTAGCCCATAGACTTTTATGCAGTTTTCTGGGTAAAATTACTTTCATAGATCAGAAAAAATGTGTGTCGCCTTGGGGCGTAGGCAGGTATTTTAAATTGGATGGGTGGGGGGGGGGGGTGTAGAATGTCACCTCTCCCCAACTATATTATTTTACTGGATAAGAAATTGTTCTGGCAGAATTTCACAAGTTTTCGATTTGGTGTCACCCCCTATATGATGCACCCGCGTACTAACCGCACCCTCCGCTATCCCCACCTTGTGACGCTACTCGGGCGCAGGGGCATAATTCCTCCCATATATATATATATATATATATATATATATATATATATATATATATATATAAATATATAGCCAAGATCTGTAACTTAACGTGAGACGACTTTCATTTTGGAGGTCCATGGAGAAGGGTATAAAAAATGTTAATAACATCCCCTAACACCCCTCCTCCTCCCTACCAACAGCCATGACACCTCGTCTTACAACTAAAAAAAATACATTGTTATACGTATTTAAAATTGGGTGTTACTATTTTTAAAAATACTAGAAAGAACTGCTCCAGTGCCACTGTTGAATAAACTATTGACTTCATAACGTGGCGACATCCTATGGTAAGCAGCTAATGCTGTGTATCAGTACACATACAAAACAAACAACATGCGATTTTTAAAAAATTTCATTAACATATCACATATTGTAATCAATCTAAATTATGCTGTTAAAAATACTAAGAGGACGTTGGTTTATACAGAAAGCAAAACATAAGCCAATCTAGCAGTGGCGTAGCGAGGTCGGGTGTCACCCGGTGCGGCACTTAATGGTGTCACCACCTCAGAGGCGTAGCGACTCTCCCCGGGGACAATCTTATAGTTTTCGATTTGTACCCCACCCTCGAACTTTCGATTTGCACCCCCCCCCCCCCCGCCCTCAAACTTTCGATTTGCACCCAACCCCCTCAATTTTTTCTCTATATATTTTACTATTTTTTGCCTTGGTGTCACCCCCCTAAATGGTGTCACCCGGTGCGGTCCGCACCCCCCCCTCGCTACGCCTCTGCAATCTAGATTGATTGAATCCAATATTAAACGTTAGCCTGTTGATACAGTCGAAAGAGACGACAATTGGTTCTCCCTGTGCATTTTTTTCCCGCTCCCTCAAGCCCCTTTACCAACTTAATGTGAGCAGTAACTCACACAAACATAATCGTTTTCAAAATTATAAGAGAGGCCTACTTCACAAGAACATAAGTCGCTAGCTAGACGTCTGGATACTTCACAAGAACATTAGCCGCTATCATGAAGACGTCTAATAAGTTACTTCACAAGAACATTAGCCGCTATCATGAAGACGTCTAATAAGTTACTTCACAAGAACATTAGCCGCTATCATGAAGACGTCTAATAAGTTTCTTCACAAGAACATTAGCCGCTATCATGAAGACGTCTAATAAGTTACTTCACAAGAACATTAGCCGCTAGCAAGAAGATGCCTGGTTGCATATAAATAATATGATACTGACTAAATAAAACGAAGTATCACACGATACCTACACGTCCCCCAACCTTTTTTCACCGACAATAACAATATCGAACATCCATACGTACGCTTGGATAGTTGCATTACAGTATAAATAAATTATAATTTTAAAATAGCAAATGCCATACTGACAGATGAAATGAATATCTTATTGCTACTCATATTGCCAGTGGTATTGCACTATTTTCAACACAAGATCTTCATTTTCTTTAGCAACACATAATGTTCCGAATATTTGAAAACTACTCACTTGTATTACATAAAAAAATAATCAAATGGTAAAATTCAATGCTGGCTTGAATCTATAAATAACCGTTAACATAAATGAAAGCTTAATACATGTTAAATGTCTTTTTTTTTAAATATTCGCCTACAGAATAAGATTAGTCTTTTCTTTCAAGTTTCCACTTACAGTTACATAAAAAACACACGCATCCACAAATAAAATCATATTTTATACTTTTCATACAAGTGAGTAAATCTATTAAGTAGGCCTATATAAATAATATTTAGCCTATGTATTGTTTTTTTAAATACTACTACACTGTTTATTTTCAATAAATGATAAATTTATGGGGAAAATAAAGCTCTAAGCCTTTAGCGATTTAACCGCTGACATAAAGTACTAAATGAAACGATACTTTATCAGCATGTAGATCTATTGTGTTATCACATTGCCCATGAATTCGTTTGAACCCAGGTCGATCATTGACGTTGAAATCAACATCGTAATGAAACAGTTCAGGAGAAAAACAAAGATGCTGATGAGATTTTATCACAATTTCCTGTTTTCTTTACGTTTAAAATGTTAGCCACACTTATATATTCAGTAATAAGTCTGTCAGGTAACACATTGGTAGCGTGTGAATTAAAATCAAACAGCAGGCCTAGTAATAAAATTTCTAATTAAGGCGCCCTCTATAATTAAGGCGCCCTTTATAATTAAGACGCCCATGATGCGGACGTCCCCGGGTCGGTTGGCGCCCAGCGTTGCTATCTACACACGCTGGCACTGAGTTGGACTAAAAGTCATTCCCTAACCCCCATTACACAGCCATTCCCTTACCCTCATTACAAAGCCATTCCCTATCCATTACACAGCCATTCCCTTACCCTCATTACAAAGCCATTCCCTATCCATTACACAGCCATTCCCTATCCATTACACAGCCTTCCCCTATCCATTACACAGCCATTCCCTATCCATTATACAGTCATTCACTATCCATTACACAGCCACTCCCTATCCATTGGAAGGGACGGCGTGGTCGAATAGTAGAACTTTCAACTGCTAATTCGAAAGTCTCGAGTTCGGGTCCCTTGCTAGAGCTGTAGCTCGTCCTTGAGTCCACTCAGCTCTGATGGGTACCTGACTTACATTAGGGAAAGTAAAAGTGGCTGGGCACAGTGTTGACCATACTATCCCTTCATGTGCCGAGGTAATAGACACAGGTGAACTCTACTTCACCTGCCCAGTGTGACGCCATGTTCAAACGAAAACTTAACAATCCATTGAATGTCAATTCTCTAACCCATTCCCTATCAATCAATACAGCAAATCCTTATCCATGAAATATCATCCACTATCCATTAAACCTCTATTCTGTATCCATTAACAAACAAAAAACACACAGTACGTGTGGGTCCTATAATCTCAGACCATACAATGTTAAATTTTAGGTCCATTTAAAAAAAAAAACTAACATGTGTCTGGTCGCAAGCTTAACTCAACTACACAGGCTGTTTTTTCTTTCTAAATACTAACCAAATACATGATTTTTTTCGTGATCATTTACATATAAGACGTATTTTCAAGCCAGAGGCGTAGCTAGGCCGCCGACCTTAGGGGGCGCCAAACGGGGTAGAAAAATAAAATAAAAAGAGCTGTATTACTCAAATTACTGAATTATACACAGTCAAAGTTAAGAAAATAGACTGATACTTGTTTTACTTATTTAAGTGTTTTCGACATTAATTATGTGACCCAAAAAAAAAACTGTTGAAGGATAGTAACTGGTAAAAAGTGCCTCCGACCTTTCCTAATTGGGGAGGGAGGTTTTTTTTTTTCGCCAAGGTGAATAACTAAATATAAATGAGAGGGGGGAAAAATTGATAGTTCGCCCCGGGCACCGGAATAGGTCCCTGTCCCTACGCCTCTCTCTCCATCTACATTAATAACGTTGATTTCTTCACCCTCTTCATCTTAACTGAAGAGACTATTTAACACACACATTGAAAAGTGGATACATTTTGTTTTTAAAAAGTATCTAAATAAAGGCATGTATAAATTGTGCATCAGGTCCCCCGATACTTTACATCAGAGCACATTTCCCCTTTAATTTGTCCCGCCGCTTCTGAGCTTTGGACTTGTTCGTCTCCAACTGTAGACTGACAGCCCGTCTGGTTTCCAGCTGAAGAAGTTCTTGAAAGAGTTCTTTCACGTTGTGATTTGTCTTGGCCGAGGTCTCTAAGAACGCACAGTTCCACCTCTTTGCCAGCTCCGCACCTTCCTGCACGGTGCACTCCCTGTTGACGTCATCGCATTTGTTGCCGACCAGCATCACGGGAATTCCCTCGATATCCCCTTTCATCTCCACGATCTCGTCTCTGATTGGTTTGAGTTCCTCCAATGACTGGCGACTGGAGATGGAGTAGACTAAGATGAAGGCGTGGCCTTTGGATATGGATAAGCGCTGCATGGCGGGAAACTGATGACTTCCGGTTGTGTCTGTGATCTGCAGCGTGCACACCTGCTTGTTGCAGCTGATCACCTGGCGAAACAGACAGACAAACAAACAAGCCGTCAGATATTATTTTCTATCTAAAACAATTTCCCATTCAGTAAAAGCACATTCTTTCCATTTCTGTTGTTTTTTAATGACAAGAGTAGGACTGCTGTTTCCTGTAAAACCAGTGTTTCTTCCAAACTTTTTTCTCCCGGGGGGGGGGGGGGGGGCATTTGAAATTTTCTGGGGGGCGGTAGACTTTCTTCGGGGGGGGGGGGGGGGGCGGACACTGTTAAAATTATATATTTTCTATATAATTTCATTTCGTTCGGGAGGGGGGGGGGGCGGTAGACTTTCTCCGGGGCAAGGGGCACTTGATATTTTTGAGGGTGCAGTCAACATTTTTTTCCGGGGGGGGGGGGGGGGGGGGAGGGGGGCGGCGGACACTGGTAAAAGTATGTTTTCTATATAAATTCCATGTCGTTCGAGGGGCGGTATTTTGCTCGGGAGTGGGGCATTTGAAACTTAGAGTAGGGGGCGGACACTGTTAAAAGTATATATTTTCTATATAAATTTAATTTCGTTCGGGGGGGGGGGGGGGGGGGGTAGACTTTCTTCGGGGGGAGGGGGGGCGGAGCAGAGATGCCTGGAAGAAACTCTGGAGGGGGGGTAGTGCTCATAGGAAGAGAAGTCTGAAAGAAAAACAACAAAAAACATTTCGACCTGAAGTCTTCGTTTCATTGAATTGAAGTGTTTTTGGCAGTGGCGTAGCCAGGATCGTCTCAAGGGGGGGGGGGTCCCAAGTTACCCGGGGATAAACTTTCGATTTGCACCCCCCCCCCCTCAAATTTTCGATTTGCACCCCCCCCCCCCCCCCTCAAACTTTCGATTTGCACCCCCCTCAAACTTTCGATTTGCACCCCCCCTCAAACTTTCGATTTGCACCCCCCCCTCATAATTTTTCTATATACCGAGGGGTATATGGCGGGGTTATGACCCCCCCTGCCTACGCCACTGATTTTTTGGTGCAGCTTTTTCGCTTCTCTTTTAATTTTTATTTTAAAAAAAATAAAACAACATAATCTGTTTTTATAAACATGTTTTGATTTTCTAAACCTTAATGCCTCCGCCAATTTGGGGCATTTTAAAAAAAATCATAGACAAAAACACAAATGGCACCTAAACATCCTCTCCAAGCAAGGACGTAATGTCGCCCATAAATCATTAACGCATTACCAATAATTGATTCTTATTAAATGCCAACCTTGGACAAATGAAATTTCATAACATACAGACAACAATCGTTACTACACAAGGCACAGTGTCATTTAGAAACTTTACACATTTTCCGAGGGGGTGGCGGACACTGATTAAAGTATATATTTTCGATAGAAACTATTTTGAAAAATTACATTTTGTCCCGGGGGGGGGGGAAGACTTTTTTTCGGGGTAAGAGATGCTTGTAAGAAACTCTGTATAAAATATTGCTGCTATAATACAGTTCCTCCAGCACCCTGAAACCATTTTTGCCTGTATGTAAGTGGGATGTAAAAACCACTTTACCTGCCCTACTAGTGGGATGTAAAAACCACTTTACCTGCCTACTAGTGGGGATGTAAAAACCACTTTACCTGTCTACTAGTGGGGATGTAAAAAACCATTTTACCTGTCTGTAAGTGGGGATGTAAAAACCATTTTACCTGTCTGTAAGTGGGGATGTAAAAACCATTTTACCTGTCTGTAAGTGTCCTCACTAGTGGGGATGTAAAAAACCACTTTACCTGTCTGTAAGTGGGGATGTAAAAACCACTCTACCTGTCTGTAATTGGGGATGTAAAAAACCACTCTACCTGTCTGTAAGTGTCCACAATAGTGGGGATGTAAAAACCACTTTACCTGTATGTAGATGTCTAGTGGGGATGTAAAAAAACCATTGTACCTGTCTGTAAGTGGTGAATGTAAAAAACCACTTTACCTGTCTGTAAGTGTCCACAATAGTGGGGATGTAAAAACCACCTTACCTGTCTGTAAGTGTCCCTCAATAGTGGGGATGTAAAAACCACTTGACCTGTATGTAGATGTCTAGTGGGATGTAAAAACCACCTTACCTGTCTGTAAGTGTCCTCAATAGTGGGGATGTAAAAACCACCTTACCTGTCTGTAAGTGTCCTCAATAGTGGGGATGTAAAAACCACCTTACCTGTCTGTAAGTGTCCTCAATAGTGGGGATGTAAAAACCATTTACCTGCCTGTAAGTGTCCTCAATAGTGGGGGATGTAAAAAACCACTTTACCTGTCTGTAAGTGTCCTCAATAGTGGGGATGTAAAAACCACCTTACCTGTCTGTAAGTGTCCTCAATAGTAGGGGATGTAAAAACCACTTTACCTGTCTGTAAGTGTCCTCAACAGTGGGGATGTAAAAACCACTTTAACTGTCTGTAAGTGGTGGATGTAAAAACCACTTTACCTTTCTGTAAGTGGGTATGTAAAAACCACTTTACCTGTCTGTAAGTGTCCTCAATAGTAGGGATGTAAAAACCACTTTACCTGTCTGTAAGTGTCCTCAACAGTGGGGATGTAAAAACCACTTTAACTGTCTGTAAGTGGTGGATGTAAAAACCACTTTACCTGTCTGTAAGTGTCC